ATAGATAGATAGATAGATAGATAGATAGATAGATAGATAGATAGATATAGATGGATGGATGGATGGATGGATGGATGGATGGATGGATGGATGGATGGATGGATGATAGAGAGAGAGAGAGATTGATTGATACATTTTTCTTTAATAAACATAAGAAACTCTGTATACAAACAGTGCGTACAATTAGTTTTAAAAACAAAAGACAATAAGCATAATGGTAATCCTAATATACATATCATTCATAACGATCACATAGCGGTATTAGCTTTCCCATGCTTGAAAAACCTTCCTTCTATAATTAAACATTCTCTCAATCTTTTTCGTTTTTTAACCTCTGTTTCGCTTAGTTAGCCATTGGTAAAACAAGTCCCATGTCCAAAAGCATTCGGTTTCTCCTTTATTTTTAGCGTTAATCTGTCCATTGTAAACTTTCCAAATGGATAAACAGAAAAATTCCACGCGATGTTTAAAACAAAACCCCCCAAATCCCAGATTTTCTTTTTCTTTCTCCGGAGGCAAAATATTTCTAACTCTTCCCTGGCAAAACACGGAATTTTACGCTGTAGAGAAACCCTGATAAAAGTTTGCGTGGGGTGGCCTCTTCCTTCTGATTCGTTTCCCCTTTTTTCTTTCTTTTTAAAGATCTTACCCCAACGAACTGGGACCCAAACATTGGACGGAGGCGCGTTTCGAACAGATGATGAGATTGAAGCAGGAAGCCCTGGCTTTCGCTCGATCGCAGAAAGCGGATTACATTTTGGTAAATCTGACCAGGGTCTGCTAAATTCAGCCAAAGACAGGGTGGTGCAAAAGCCTTAGCTTTTTAGTCTGCTGGTTGAATCTTCTCATCCCATTAAAAACCACGGTTTGGTTAATACTTCGGAGGGCCCCACATGTCACAGGAAATTTGAATATGAATTTGAAAGCGAAGGATTTTTATGCATTTTCATGCATTTCTCTGTGGGGTCACTGGTGCTCTCTGAGCTGGGTGGTTTTCTTGCAGACGTTTCATGACCCAGCTAGGGAACATCCTCAGTGCTAGAAAGTGCTGGAATTTGCTTTCTCTCCCTTCTGGCACTGATGATGTTCCCTAGTTGGGTCATGAAATGTCTTCAAGAAAACAAGCCAGCTCAGAGAGCCCCACAGACCTCACAAGTGTTGTCCTTCTCCTCCTCCACTCCACACACCCCTTTCCCTTTTAGCATGGATGATATTCCCTAGTTGGGTAATGAAATGTCTGCAAAAAAACAGCCCAGGTCAGAGAGCACCCAAATTCTCCTCCTCCTCCTCCTCCTCCTCCTCCTCCTCCTCCTCCTCCCTGACTGAGCTGGTATATGTCTTTTGCTCCTAGTTTGCCGACACTGACAGCATCCTGACCAACAATCAAACCCTGAAGTTCCTCATTGCACAAAACAAATCGGTTGTCGCCCCCATGATGGATTCCCAGACATATTATTCTAATTTCTGGTGTGGGATCACCCCGCAGGTAAGCAGGCCGGTTTGAACACAGATACAGTAGTCCTTGGCTTACAACAGCTCATTTAGTGACCCATCAATGGATGGCACTGAAAAAGAGGTGATTTATGACTCTTTTCCACACTTCTGACTGTTGCAGAATCCCCATGATTCAGAGGCTTGGCAACCGAGGCATATTTATGGCAGTTGAGATGTCCCGGAGTTATGTGATTCTCCTTTTGCAATTTTCTGGCAAGCAAAGGCAATGAGGAAGCCAGATGCACTTAACAAATGTGTTCTTACTTAACAACTGCAGTGTAACACTTAACAACTGTGGAAGGAAACGTTGTAAAATGGGACAAAACTCCTATATTCAACTTCCTTCCTGCCTTCCTGCCTTTTTCCTTCCTTCCTTCCTTCCTTCCTTCCTTCCTTCCTTCCTTCCTTCTTTCCTCCTAATCTCATTTCCTTCCTTTTTTCCCTTCCTCTCTCCCTTCCTCCCTGCTTCCTTCCTTCCTTGCTTGCTTCCTTTCTCCCTCCCTCTCAATCTCATCTCCTTCCTTCCTTTTCTCCCTCTCCCCCTCCCTTCCTGCTTCCTTCCTTCTTTTTCTCAATCTCATCTCCTTCCTTCCCTTCCTCTCTCTCTCCTTCCTCCTTCCCTCCCTCCCTCCCTCTTTCTCTATTTATTTATTTACTTACTTATGTCAACTGTCTTGCAACAGATATTTTGGGGCTCATGGTCTTAAGTGGAGCACTACCTGTTTCTGATCAGAAGAGTAAAAAACCATTGGGTTTAATCTCGTGTGTGTGTGTATATATATATTCATTCATTCATTCATTCTGCGGCATTTGGTGGATAAATGATGCGAAGGGGATGTGGATCTGAAGGATCTTTCTTCCCACCAGGGTTATTACCGACGGACAGTGGACTATTTCCCTACCAAGAACCGCCAGCGTCTCGGGTGTTTTGCTCTGCCCATGGTCTTCGCCACGTTTTTGATTGATTTGCGCAAGAACAACACAGCCAGCCTGGCCTTCTACCCGCCTCACCCCACCTACGCGTGGCCCTTCGACGATATCAATGTCTTTGCCTACTCTTGCCAAGTTGCAGGTAAGGACACAGACAGGGGGACCATCGAGAATAATCTGCTTTTGGGAAAGATTTTACAGTTTTTATTCGTTTATCTATCTGTATACAATATATAAAGGCAAAATACCGCTCACACATCATCACAAAATCTCCAGAACCGTAAAGCCTACAAACTTGAAATTTGGCATGTAGGTTCCTCTTGGCTTCTAGGAGCTCACTAAGAAAGGATTCTTCGAAACGGCCATCAGAGCATTTGGAGTATTCCCTATATTATTATTATTATTATTAACACGCTCTGATGCTAAGGAGGTCTACTCCCCCTCCCCACCTGAAAAGAAATCCTCTCCAAATGCAAAACGCCAGCCGAGGAGAGGAGTTTCAGTTTTACTTTCACAGCACCAAGCAGCTTTAGTACAGTAAAGTTGAGCTAAGCCACACCCAGGCTCCTTGCTCTCTCCTTGCTCACACAGCAAATACTGCTTCAGTTTCCAAACAGCCCTCAACTCTCTCACACACTGACAGGATGCTAGGGAGGTGGCAGAGAGAGAGACAGAGGTGGAGCCTGGACCATCTATCAGCTCTCAGATGGAGAGTCAACTGCCCCCAGGTCTGGAGGTGGCTGATGAGGAAGAGGAGGAAC